AAATCTTAAAATAGTCTTAAAAAAATCAAAATAATTATTAAAAAATCTCGGAATTTTTTTTTTGGCATCTTAAAAGAATCTTAAAATAGTCTTAGTTTGTGTCACGTTTAAGATCTTAAACAAACGACAATTTTAAGACAGTTTTTAGATGATTTTTTTTACACGGGTAGTTTCACATTATTTTTGCCGATTATTAATTTATTATCATAAGTTTTCAGAGTAGTTCTGAATGGATTTAAATTTCACGCTAGATAAAATTTTATTATTTATTTATTTTTTGTGTATATCAATACATTGTTATATTTAAAATATTAATCCATAAACAGAAAAAAAATTTAACTTAAATCAAGAAAATAATTTTTGAGAACTTAAGTTAAACTAAGAAATTTTGGTAAATATTTACAAGTGGGGTCAACCATTTAAATTTTCATTTTTTTGAACGAAATTTCTATTTGATTTTATTGATATATTTTTTTTAAATACATAAAAAATGAACAATTTAAAAAAAAAGTTGATTATCACAATCTTAACAAATTTTCAAACAAATTTATAAATTTTTTTTTTAATTGTTTTTTTTTATGTACTTTTCAAAAAAATATATCAAAAACATCAAAAAAGGTTAAATAGAAATTTTATCCAAAAACATAAGAGCCAAAATTTTTTCCAACTTTTGAAAGCAAAAAAGCTATCGAAATCTTTATTTTTCTCTATCACGACATTTTTTATCATAAATGTGCCGTAAAAATAAGCAGAATAAAAAAAAAATTAAAATATGTTAATTTTTCACCTATATGGCCAAAAATAGGGTGGAGACAATGAAACTCTTAAAAATTATTTTCTTGGTTCAAGATTTTTTTTTTTGATTCAAGTTAATTTTTTTCTTAGTGTATTGAAGATTCATAAACTTTTTTTAGATAAAGGAAAATTTATAAAACGCTCTGCTAGGAAATAAATAATTAAGTAATTCATCGAATAGCAGAACATTTTTTCTAAAATTTTTTTTTGCAAAGAAAAAATTCATGAATCTGTAATCTTTGATTGTAGGTTACTAGTATTAACATTAATATTAAGTCTTTATTCATATTTAGAGCTAATTAACAGGTTTTGTATTGATAAAAGGATTTGTTGATGTTTGATGAAGATGAGATTTATTAATATTAATAAATGATTTATTAATGTTAAAACGGCTTAATGAATATTTATCAAGAGTTAACGCATCATTTATTGGAAAAGTTAACTGTTTAAAAAATAGGGATTAATAGCTGATAAATATTTATTGTTTTTTTATGAATTATGATAATGTTTATCATGTAAATTATTTATCAAAAGTTATCGGTGATATTAAATATTAATTTGTACTTTAGATTAAAATTAAAAAGTAGGTTTCAGATTAATGAATTTATCAACAGATTTTAAATTTTTGTTATCTATCTAGATTTTTACAATTTTTGAATTATGATGCACCTAGATATAACAATTTAAGAATAGATTAAAAAAAAAAAACATTGTTTTTACTTTTTAGAAAGACAAATTTTTACGAAGTATGTTTTAAAAATTAAGATGCTTTTAAAATTTTTTTTAATATTTTGAAACAGTAACATTTTTTTTTAATAATTCTGAAAGTTTTTTATGTATTAAAAAAATTTTTTTTTTTATAAACTAAATTTTTTACTAGTTTAAAATATTTTGTAATTTTTTGAGAGCTATTATCAAAAAATTTCGAAGTTTTCTGCGTCCAAATAGAAATTTTAAATGTATTTTATATTTATGGATAAATTTAAAGAATTTTTTATTAATTCCAAAAATCAAATCAATTTTTTTTCCCTCTAAAAAATAAAAATTTTGTTTAAAATTCAGAAACTGTAAATTTTTCTTAATAAGTTTCTATAATGTTCAAAATTGCAATTTTTCAGATTAAAAAAAAATTTTTAAATGAACTTCAAAGTAAGCCGAAAAATTTAATATTTTTCTCATTTAAAAATAAATTTCCTTTAGCTTCAAGTAAATAAGAATAATTAAATTAAAAAAAAAAATTACCTGCACATTTCTCCAGTCCAAATACTGATATCTTCAGTGCCGCGTTTTGGTGGCCAAAATTCTCCTGCGACACCTTCGACAGCATTACAAGGTGTATGAAAATTCTTAATAGTATCTTTATAATTCCATAATTTGACCACCCCCAAATTAGTCAAATCATCCTCTCCAGTCGCTACATTGAAATGCCCGTCGAAGTACGTCGATCCGTTTCTCTGCAAAAGTTGAATAAAATTAAAGTCAATGTCATAGATATAAATTTCAATAATAAAATTGTCGACCTTTAGACACTGTATCAATATCATCACATCATCATAATCATAATTATTAACCAAAGTTATGTAATAAATAATAATTGCGCACGTGTATCGTTTTTCAACTGCGTAATTGCGGTAATTGGTAGAAAATCTTAGATGACTTTAATTAAGAAAAAAAATAATATACTGGAAAGTTTTGATAAATTTTAATCATCAAATCAAGTAAATAAAATAAATTAAAATTACCATGTAAAACCAGCCAAATTTGTCGAAAGGTGGAACTTCGAAATCGTCGCTCGCCATCAATGAACCCATTGATATTATTTGATCTGAGTATCCCTCGAATAATAACTCGCCTGCAGTCTTATTGATGTAGATTTTTGACGATGCTAGTAAGTATGACAGCGTTCCTTGCATCATCGGGTTCCAGTATCTTATTGTATGAGCGGCTGACTAAGTTTAAATTTATTATTATTAATTATTAATTACTATTTATAATCATATCAATGATACTTACAACTGCAACGGTGTTCAAAGCAATAACTCTATCCTTTAGTGTTCCATTACTACGCTCTGCATCAAAATACCAATATTTCATTTGGTCATAACTTACAGTACTATTTTCTGGATGGAATACTACGTTTACCTTCACTCTCCTTTCTCTGGAAATTAAAAATAATTTTTAACTTCCCGCTAAAAATCTCAGATTTTCAAAAATCGGGAAGTTATTGTTTTCACCCCGTTTTACAAAAATCGAGTTTTCATCAGATCTCGACGTTTGAAGGTCACAGGAAGCTTCCCTGACTATTTTTACGATGATGTCCGTACGTCTGTATGTATGTGTGTGTGTGTGTTATAGAGGAGGTAAAATACATTTACGTATGCCAGGGCTTGGTGTTGTTGCCAGGACTAGGTGTTGGTGCCTGGGTATGTCGGACTCAGAAGTCAATATTTGCAACAATACCGACTAAACATCCTCCTCTCTCCTTTCCCTATAGATGTTACAGGGATGACTGGAAACGGGACCGCGTTAGCATTACTTCAATCCAGCCGTGCTGCGGTGAAGAGATAGGCGGTGTACTGCCCATGTCCTGTCAGTAGTTGGGTCAGGAAAAAATCTGTGTCCCCGTGCTTCCGAGAAAGCCAGACGTTGATGTTTGGCATCAGTCGCGCTGTCCATCTGC